CCTGCGCGGGCTAAAATAGTCATTAGGCAGATTTCAAAAAGATGTCAGTAGCTTATAATTATAGTCGACATCCTTCTGAGATAAAAGTGATTACCTTGGATGCAAAGCACTTAGCAACCAATCAGGGCGGTGGGCGGCGCCCGCGGAGGTGACCGGCGCCCGCAGCCCTCCTCCCGCAGCCCGCTCCGCACCGCACAGGCCGGGGAAGCGCACAATAGCTCTTGACACGCAAATGGGTTAACACAATAAAGGCGGCTCCGGCCGCTGCCGGGGGAGAGCGGCAATTCCCGGCCCGCGGGAGGTAATAAAGCGGCCCTTTTGTGCAGCGCCTCCCGGTTCTCACCCCCGCCCCAAGCCCAGAGGAATCGCCGCCTGATTGAATTACGGTTCATGAATATGAGCTGCTCTGCTGGCTTCCTCCGGTTTGTGAGCGATTGGAAGGTGGAGGGGTCAGGAGGGAGTTTGGGGAGGGCCCCCCCTGGCTAGGCCTCAGCACCCACTCCAGGAGCTCAGATGGGGAGCCACAAATGTGGGGGTGCCTGGGGTAGGTGGGTGGGAGACTCAGCAGAGGCAACTGAAAGGGTGGGAGTCTCAGACCTGCCCTGGGGTCTTTGATCTTTGGCTCCAGGGGGGACTGGGAAAGCGTTTCAAGGCCGCATTCTGAGGTTGAGGCTAACAGGGGCCCACGAGAATGTGCATTTATGGAGTGCTTACTGTATGCTGGCCCCTGTGCTACTAAGCCCTCACTGAATCCTTCCACACCCTGGGGAGTGGGTGCTATTATCAGCTCCTTCTCACAGATGAGGAAACTGGGGCTCAGATAAGCAATGCTACTCACCCAAGGTCACACAGCCAACAAAGGGTGGGCCCACTCCACAGTCTGGCTCTTTACCATTGGGGGTTTAAGTAACCCAGCCCAGGTCCAGAGCAACTGTGTGGCTCAGAAGGGATAGGGGATGGGTGAGCTTACGTGGAATTAGACAAGTGATAAGGATTACTGGGGGGTGGAGGGTGGACAGCTAACCTTGAGGAAGAGGACTGCCCAGGGAGCTGAGAAGGCCCTCCCCACCCTCACTGGAAGGGCTGCCCAGGGTCACCATCTCTGACAAGGGAGCCCTAACTGGATCCTCTCCCCTGCCTAAACCTGCCCATCCACCTAAGCCCCCAGGGCCACCCCTCAATCTCATTCAGCACACCCTGGCAATCACAAGGCCACTACACAGCCACTCCCACTGCCCAGAACACTCTTTCCACTCCTCTGCCTGGCAGATTCCTATTTGTCTTTTCTCAAGAGTCACATGGCACCCCTCCTATATGGCCCACCCCTCACCCTCGGGCTGGGTCAGGAAGCCACATCCACCAAAGATGCTCTTGCCCCAACTATATCCTTGCCTTCCCCACCAGCTGGGTGCCTCCAAGAGGGTCCCCCTGGGATGGCTGGGGGCAGCCTCACACTCCACCCCAGGGAAGACCACAGGGGCAGATGACAAGGAGCCTAGGGCCAACTCTCTCATCCCTTCCTGGCAGGCAGGTTTCATGCCGTACCTTCCTTCCCCCAGTGCTGGAGAAAGAGGTGCCAGGAGTGAGGGGAACAGGCTGCTCGCAAGGCCAGGGCAGAACTGGCCACTCTGGTCAATCTGTCCTGTAGGTAATGGGGAAGTAGGATCCCAATCTGGGTTTCAGTGTGGCAAGACATCTTGGTGAGGCCAGACTTCCTCTATAGCCAATAGCCCCTGACTCTTGCAGGGACCCTGTCCAACAAGTGGGGGTGCCTCCCCTCCATCCACGGAAGAGGGTGGGAAGACCTGGGAACTCTGAATCCAGCACAGTTGAGGGCTGAACCTCTGCAGTTGCCTGGCCGAGCACCTGTAGCTCATTATTTCCTGTTTGAGCCTCAGTTTCCTCATCTGTATAATAGGCCACAACCCATTAGTCACTGCAAGGAGTAACTGAGATCCTATAAAACACCTGGCACATAGGAAGATGCTGGGTAAGCTGGCACTCCCTCCTGCGCGTCGCCTGGTGCTATTGCCAAGCCCAGGGAAGCGAACAGAAGGAATCGCCCAATTCTGACAGCCTTTCCCTCCGCCTTGGCTGTGGAAGTGTAAATACTCCATGGAGGACCTCCAACTGCCTGTGTTTGTGGCTCTCTGGCGCACTCCGAGTTTGTTTCTAAACTGGGAAGCTTCGAGAGGCAGCGCAAACAGCCCTTCTGCCCACCTCTCCCACTTCTCCGCCCCCCCCTCCCGTCTGTTATTGCTCCTGTCCTCGCAAGCCTGTGTGTTTAACGACACCATTTCAGCTGGAAATATCATCTCCCTGCAAAGCCCCCAAAAGCAGCTCTGCTGATATTTATTGACCTGTTCATCGAGCTAGAGAGCCGGGTAGGAGAACAGAAATAAATGCTTGCTGCATAGAGACGGGGCCTGGCTTCTCAAAATGACCTCACATACACTCCCCTCTGCTCTCACCCCACCCCACGCCACTGGAGCAATGACACAGTTCTCTAACCTTTTCCTAGAAATGTGATCACAGCAGCTTCACCCACATCCGACACTGGCAGCAACTGCTGGAAGGAACTCAGAAGAGGAATCCAAGAGCCAGCAGCAGGATGCTGCCTGGGGGGGTTCTCTGGGCATTCATAAGGAACAGGGTCAGTGCTGGGGTGTGGTGGGGAGGAGACGGCTGGTGCCTGACCCCCATTAAAGCTGGCCCCTTGGCAGAGACATGCTTTATTCAGACCTTGGCACTGATGGGCCTCATTTGCCCTCCATTCACTTAATGAGCACCACATGGAGCTTGTCAAAATCATCTTAAACACCAAAGGAGTGGGGCAGTCAGGAGCTTAGGCTTGGCCAAGGCCCCTCATCTTGGCAGTGAACAGCAGGGGACCCCCTGGACTTGGGCAGCAGGCAGCTCCTCCTCTGCACCTTCCCTGGCTGGGGGTGAGGCACCTACGTTTTCCTGACCAGAAATGGCCCTTTATAAGGCAGGGGCCCCACAGCTCTCTGGGGACCCGGGGGGAATTTCAGCCTGCTGGCTGGGTGTATGGTTCAGGGAGGTGGTCTCCGTAACATCTTTTTTGAAAGCAGAAAGTTGCTCTGTTTGGGAGTCCTGAGCCTCCAGGCACTGCCCGGCTACATGACCGAAGCTGAACACCTGTCCTTGGGGGGAGGAGCATCATCAGAGACAGCTGGTGCCGCCTCCCTCCCCCACCTCACCAGGGCACTGGGGATTTAGGTCAGAGGACTGCAGTTATGGTGGGGAGTCTGCCTTCACCCTTCCACTGCCCAAAGGCATCCAGCCTGGCCCCTGGGTACCGTGACCCCCCCCCCCAAGACAGGTCGCATCTCCACCGCAGCCCCAGTGATGTCAGAGGCCTGGTAGTGACGTCAGGCCGCAATGCACTGGGCACCCTCGTGCCCGAGAGGTTTTTGTAGGAACACGGGCTGTCGGGGGACCCTGTTACAGTCTAGCCTCAGACAGCACAATCCTCAAAAGCGGCCACCCGCATGTAACCAGGACTTCACCTATCCCTTTGAGCTGCTGTCCCCTGAAGATCTCAGAGGCGACTTGGGAGAACCCCACGCTGTCCCATCCTGGTGCCCCCCTCCTCAAACACTCTTACGCACAAGAGTTCCCGGGGCAATTTTCGGAAGACAGAGCCACTACCCCTGCTACTTTTGTCTGTTGGCTTTATGAATGGGGTAACCTCTGGCATTTTATATACCCGGCTCAGGGCCCAGCAGAGCCCCCACAGCGGGTTCCCAACCTCCACTCTGGCCGGCTGGCGAGTCCAGACAAGCTGTGTGTGGGAAGGAAAGGGGAGGTCAAGAGGCACCGCTGCTTCAGGATCCCCAGCAGCCCAGGGTCCCTTTAGGTCCAACCCGGGCTGCCTCGAGGCCAGGAGGTGCCCCAGCTCCAACCCGCGGCCCCTCCTCGGGAACTCACCGGGTCAGCCAGGTCTCAGCGGCGACGGCTCCACGCGCGCAGGGTTGCAGCCATGCAGGGGTGACGGGCTGCCTGAGAGAGCCCCCCTCGGGGGCCGGCGCCTCTCTCGGGGTGGAAAGGGATGCTGCCGGTGAGGCCCCAACACGCGCCGTCCGAAGTCCAAGGTGGAGGGTCTCTCGGCTCAGCGAGGGTCGCGCCCGCCCGGGACCCGGGCCGCGCGGGCGCTCAAGCGGCG